TATATATATATATATATATATATATATATATATATATATCTTTACATGTAATGCTGGTTTTCACGAACTATCATTTCAACACACATCAATTTATTATATATTAGACGTAAGTCTCTCGTGTTATCTTAAATTCATCAAAAATTATTCTGCAGATCTCTCGGTCATTTAATATTTCAGGATGCTAACCTTTCGAGGGTTTTCATTGGACCATCCATTGTGCGCACAAAAAGGAAATAAATATTTTAACGTAAGATAAGCACAACACATTTATTATAACTTACCCCAGTTTGAAATAAACTGATCTGAAAAACATCGAAAAAAAAAAAAAAATATTCTGTACTTGCATCTAATTCGAAGAATTACAACATTTATCAAAATCTAAACGAGGAAAAGGTAAACAAGATGAAGTTTCAATGAAAATGATAATTTCTTTTTTATGAAATATTTTTGGAATACTTATCGATTAATTAATTAAATGAAAAAAAAAAAAAAAAAAAATATGTCGTAAATATTCTCGAAAATGTTGGATATAATACTTCGGACGTTCTCGGGTATTTTCGTATTTCGTCAAATAAAAAATTTCTCTTACTATTGATCGTTCAGGAGATCATCTTCAAAAGTTCTAAGTTTATCGGTTTTATATTGAAAGAAAAATATAAATTCGAGTTTGGAAGTTTTGAAGAAACTTTATTTTGAAAAATTATTAAGATGGATAAAAAAAAAAATAAAAAAAAAAAAAAACACCTATACAAACACGTGCCTATGGTCCAATGATAATACAGGAAGAATAAAATAGTTGTTCGTAATTTTGTCAACACTTATATTTAGACGACTGTCTCAGATAACTAGATAAGATCTTAAGATTCTTAAGTCATCGTCCATTTAAAACGGTCGACGTGATTTTTCAGATCGATAATCGATGATTCATTTAATTACTATTGTAAACAATTACGAATTTCCTAGGACACGCGAAATGATTCGATAAAATGAATCAGACAATCTTCTTTCGGATAATCGTGTCGAGGGAAATCTTCTAAATCGAATATTTTATGGATTGCATTGAAAAATCTATTTAATGGATGAAATTAATTTTAACGACCTTTTCCTGACAATTTCTCATACTCGTAAATCTTAACATTAAGTATTCTCTATTTTTGTGTACATCCACGCTCTTGAAGTGGATTCCCTCTTTTTCTTTCTTTCCCTACTTTTTTTTTCTTTTTTTTTTTTTTCAAGGATGGATGAGGAGAAGAGAAGCGTGGGGAGAATTTGCTTAGTCAGGAAGAAATCATTAGATCGTATTTGTGCGTATATACGAGAAACAGAACAGCTGAAAAGAAGAAATATACTTTTGAGGGAATTCGTGAATTTAGAAAAAGAAAAATCGACTTAAACGAGTGGATCTCATTTTAACGAAGCTTATTTCAAAATCATAAATCGTTCGGATAAGAAAGCCTCGTTAAAGATTTCTCTAATTTCATTTTCAATAGTCAAATATCAATACATTTATTTAAACAAATTTATAAACATCTAAATAATAATACTTATTTCTTGCGTTTATATTTATACTCATGATCGATGCGATCATACTCCCTCGCTATATTTCATATTTCTTGACAAATCTCTCGAAGATAAAAAATAAAACGAAATATATAAGTTATTCTCGTACGATTACATCGGCATTTCTATAATCGAAATCCCTTTTTGTCAAATACATCCTTCCCATCGATTCTCACTCTCTTTGTATTGAGAGACCTTTGCTTATTTAGCAATTTCCATTTTTTATTTATTAAAGCAGAATCATGCATAATACGATAGCACGAATGAGAAAGTTTCATAACTTGATGAAATTGATGAAAAATTCATTATACTTTGAAATTTCTCTTTACTCATCATTTTCATTGGACCATTCCTAAGTTCTTATTTCACATATATTTTTATTGAAAAAAAAAAGATGCATAATAATAATAATAATAATAATCCGTATCACGATAATCAACGTAATTATGTTAAACTGTCGTTAATTGATAAACCAATTATGAGAATTATCGTTTGAAATAAAATAATGGCTAAAAAATCATTCGTAAACTTAACGTGGATTTTTGTTATATATATTTTTTGTATTCCTATATTTTTCCTTAATGCAATCCAAAAATACATTCTTGTTTTTTCTTCATCTTTCATGAAATTTGCTGAGAAACATTTTTATTTGATGAAAGAATATCGCTTTTAGCTAGAACATACTCGCTGACTTCAAATAGCCGAAGTAAATATTTGTCTCGGATTTTCTTCTTTTCTTGGTCACCCTCGGTTAAAACAGAAAGAGAGAGAAAGAGGGAGAGGGAGAGGGAGAGAGAGAGAGAGAAATAGAGAGAAGCTCGTTTATATATAACATGTTCTACCTGCAGCCAGCCAATCGCAGTACCGCGTGCCAAACATAACAAGTACGGAGTAACTGCTTTGTTCTTGGCCTCTGATACGACCACGTGAAACTATGAGACAACCATGTCCATTTCCTTTGCGACACGTTGAAACGATGAGCTCTGAGATTACCTTAATTGGGATGATAATTAATCTCATCATCTGGTAGTCCTATTTCATCAACTGTAAAGAGGAAAAGAGAAAAAGAGGGAGAGAGAGAGAGAGAAAAGTTCATCTGTTACAAAGCAAATGGATTCAAACAGCTTTCAAAGTTTTAGATTAATTCATATTTTATTAAATTAACACAGTTTAACGTTAATATTCCAGTCTATTCGATTAATTTTAATATAGAACGATAACTTAAACGATATCAAGGATAGGGGATGTTCAAGTATAGGGTTTTCTTTTTTTTAATATGAAAATCTTCTAAAACTTTAGAGGAATCTTAAAAAGGAATTTATTATTTCATGAAAATGAGAGGCTGTGTGTTGTTATTTCTGTGTAAAGTTTCTCTTCTCTTCTCTCTCTTTTTTTTTTTTCTTTTTTCTTTTACTTTTGAAGATAAGGAACTTTGATATTTTTGAAGGACATTACACATCTTGTTTTTGTTTTTTTTTTTCACATTAGTTTTAACGCATACTCGACTTACGAAATATATTTGAAAGCATTTATTGATAGACATTTATTTATTTATTTATTTATTTCTTGATAACTGCAAAAACGATTTATCGTTTCTATAAACTTTTTTTTGTTGTTATAAAACTCATTTCAACGTATCATATCTAGCTATTGCTATTTTTGTTCATTTTCTTCTGTTTTTTTTTCTCTCTCATTAGTTCGAGATGTCATCTAAAAACTAAATCTTTATATATCCATTTTGTTTTCTTTTGAAATTCCGACAGATATGTTTTACCGTACGAATTCAATAGTCACTTTACGAATGGCCGATAAGTTAATAGATAGTTTTCATGGATCTCGATATCGTATCGTTTGAAAAGAATTTTTTTTTTTTTTCAAGTTGGACGTTACGATAAAAAAGAAAAAAATGAAAAAAAAATAAAATATGAGAAAACAAAGAAAAAAAAAAAACAAAAATCGAACGTACACTGTACGTTTCGCTTTTAATTGCGGAGTTGTGGAGTTCATCGATCGAATCGAGTAAAGGTATTTTTTTTTTTGGAGAAAACTTCCGCATGCAAAGGTCTTAAATAAAGAATTATTATTCTCGTTACGACGACGTAAAATATTGATTGATTGATTGATTTATTTATTTATATTTTCATCGAAATTATTTCGAATGTTTTATCGTTGGGAGATAACACATAATAAATGGATGAGATGATTTGTTTTTCATAACATTTTGTTCTTTTTTGCATAAAAAAAAAAAAAAAATTGTAAAAAATACAATTGATTAGATAATTGTTCATTTTAAATGTCGTTTAGAATTGTTTAGCTTGAAAAACAAAAATTTTTTGTTTCTTTATAAGAGTGCAAAATATTACTCAAGATCTTTTTCTTTATCTCGCTTTTTCACTTAACTCGAAGTAACAGAAAAAAAGGATGGGAGAAAGAGAGAAAGAGAAAGAGAAAAAGAGAGAGAGAGAGAGAGAGAGGGAGGATGGATTCAAAGTTAGGGGAGGAAATCCGATCGAAGTAGCAAGATTCAGGCCGATCCGGAGCTTCCGTGCCTACCATCTCTTGCATTTCGATCATTATTTCCTGACCTCCTGTATATTTCAAATGGATATCCCTGGAATCATTTTTATTTACGTTTTTTTTTCTTGATATCCTTTTTATGTCAACATCAAGGGACAACTTTTGTAACTTTAACTTTCAATTAGTTCGTTAGATTATCGAATTAAACGAATATTCGTTCTTTATATTTATTTTGATTTAAAATGATTAATTTTTGAACAGCACTCTTCTTTTCATGAATATTTATATTCAAAGGTAGATAAAAAGATTTAAAATTTTATTCTAAACTTTATCTATATAAATAAGAAAGTACATATTTGGTATAAGTATTATATCTTATTTTATATTTTTAAATTTTTCATTAGAAAATTATTAAACACAACACGTGATCTTCTTTAAACGCTTTTCTATCATAGACATATGTATACATACATTTAATATACAATGTAAAATTGAAAATGTAAATTAGTCATTGTGTGACGTATTAACAAAGATTTTCTTCAATTATTTTGGCGAGCTCATGAAAACAATGCTACTATACTTACGCATGATGCAAAATCATTTTATTTGGCAATTTGCCGTTAAATATGTTGAAAATTTTCTGATTCATCAAATGCTATTTGTTATTTTAAAAAGATTTATTAACAAATATGAGATAAAACGTAGGAATTTGATCTATTTTCTGTATCATTCTTGACACTCCTAAGAAGAAAGTCTCATTTCTTTTTCAAACTTCATTAATTTTATATTCGAGAAAATCAGTTTAAGTTTTGAATTCGATGGTGGGACGGACGGACGGACGGACGACCGACCTCCTGATGTTGCTTCTCGATTACTCGAGAGAATTGGCACGATGACTTGAAAAAACCATTACCGTGACACCGATGAAATCCCATGAGACTAAGTTTTATCGAGTTTTGTCTGGAAAATAAATACTCGCTGTTCGAATATTTTCAATTTCATTTTCATCATATAACTATCACTTTTATTTTATTTATATTTATCTTTCTTTATTTGAGTTATTAATGATCATCAATCATAAAATATCTCGTTAAAATGAAGTTAACCTTAATGAGATTTATTTATTATTCATTTTTTTTTTAGTTAAATTTGGGATTTGTGAGTTTACGAAAATAAAGGACAAGAGTTTATTAATATTGAATCAAATATATATATATCAGAGTTTTCGAAAGTTTTCGATTAGTGTGTTAATAATCCTCTCATGTTTTTTTTTAATACAACTTTCAGGAATAGCAACGTGTCGGGTGAGAGGTCACCATTCGAAGGATCCTGTTGCAGCGGTCAAGGTGGTGACAGTAGTGAAAGTGAAATTGAAGAAATACCCAAATATAGAGTAGTTTTACTCGGTGATTCTGGAGTCGGCAAAACGGCCTTGGTATCGCAGTTCATGACTAGCGAGTATATGAACACCTACGACGCTAGTTTAGGTAATTATATAATTTTTTTTTAATTATAATTATTATCTATATAGGATATGAATGTGATAATAATTTAGAGCATTATTTTTTATTATTATAATTTTATATAATTTCATTTTTTTTTTTTTTTTTTAATACTTACTGATGACAGACATAACAAGTTTTTCATTTCAATGAATATATATTTCAATGTATAAATTTAGATTTTATATAATTATTAAAGAGGATAATACTTTATTATTTACATTTTATTTATTATATATGTATACATAAAATGAAAGTTTTTTTGTTTTTGTATATATATATATCACAGTTAATATTTTAATTAAATTGTATAATAGTATGACAGTTTGCGTAATAAAGTAAATTCAATATAATACTATTTTATTTAATTGTGATGTGATCTTAAATAAAATAATAGTGTCAATTACTGTAATGAAAAACTTATCTAATGTATTTGAATTATCGAGAGTATTATTTCATATATCAATATTTATATTATATGATATATATATATATATATATATTCATAATTACAATTTTCATATTTATATTCATATCAATTTGATATGAATATTAAAAATATTTGATATGAAAGATAATATTTTAATTATTGAAGAAATTAAACAAATAATGAATAATAAACATACCATATAGAAATACTAAAATTAAACTTTTTTCTTTTTTACAAACTTTAAATAAAAATTGAAATTTAATTAAACCTCTTATGGCGAGAAAAGATAACATTTCAAATTGTAGAAGAAATAAAAGCGTGAAAGGAGATTTATTTTTCTTTTGTTATTATGCATTAATATCGGTTTTTGTTTTTTCGAACGAAATTTTCGAGCTTGCACGACCTTTTACACCAGTCACATACTTTGTGCAAATGTACGCACACACACACACACACACATACGCGCACGCTTACATATTATATGCATATGTATTATTCTTTACAGGGATATATTCAGGCATTCATATGACCTAAATTGTGAAATACAGCAGTGATTTTATAAATTTATTCTTCTTTTGTCGTCCTCATTTTTTTTCGTTTACTATTTTTCTTCATTTTTTTTTTTTTTTTGACAGAAGATGGGGGTGCGGAGTTAAAGGATGTGACTTTCAAGTTCAAGTTTTTTCTTTTCTTTCTTTTTTTTTTCTTTTTTTTTCAAAGAATAGCAATGCAATAGAAAAATTGTACTATTCATCCGTGTCACTCATTCGTGAATAATATTCCATTGAGAAATCATAACTGTTTGTATAAATAATAATAATCGTATACTATATTACTTTTTATTATATTCAATATAATAATAAATATATAAGTATTATAATATAAATAGAATAATATTAATAAAATTTGTTTTGAGATTAAAAATCAAATATATCAAATATACAAAATTATTTGATAGAATTCATGTTTGTAGGATCTTCTTTCTAAAATCTTTCACATGCGAAAAAGTCGAGAATTTATATAAAGATTCGTATATACCTGAATACATATTACATCAGGTGGTTTGGAAAGTCATTTAGTTTTTCTTTTGTAAAAATGATGATAATTTTTGCATCGAGATTAAACCTAAACCTTTCAAGTGGTCATAAATAGTTGAATTTGATAAATTTAACCTGTCATCGATCTCATGTGTTACTATTTGTCGGTTTGCATGATCAAATGCAATTATTGCGTCAGCAAAAAAAAGGAAACGACTTTTAGAACCACCTAAGATGTTTCCATTTAAATTTTATAAGTACAAATTTATTTAGAATACGGAGTGATCTGAAACAAAATGAAACACAATCGGTCAGGAAACGGAGCTATGAAACGGTTGTTATACTAAATAATGAAAGAAAAAAAGACAAACATATAGGATTGAAACTGCGAGAGAATGAGACTATAGACTTTTCGGAAATACTATACGGACTTACTACTTTTCGGAAAAAACCTCACTAATTTTCAGAAAAAACCTCACTTCTTTTCCGAAAGTACTCAGGTCTTCATTAAATAGCTTCTAACCAATATGTATCTCTCTTTATCCTTTTTACTTTTTTTAGATAATCATAATCTTAATAGATCACTTTTGTAACATTTTTTTTACATTTTTTTTTAGATGATTTTCAATTGTATATTCTTAAGTCTCATTTGAGTTTCTCTCGTCCGAATATGAACGCCAATTTTGTGATAATATTGGGAATGAAATTATTAAGGAAGTTTCAAAGAGTTCGACGGAAGGCGTTTGTGCATTTCTTGCATGCAAAGAGGTTTTTAGTTAGCATACATTTTTTAGTTTCCAGAAGCAGCTTGTCTCATTTCTTCGAATTGAGAACTTGCCTACAGTGTAATATGTTATTTATTAAATGTTAAATAACGTAAAATAATTTTTCAAAGTGGTAACAATATTATAATAATAATATTATAAAAAAACAACCCTATAATTATCCTACACCTGATATTCTGCATTCGTCTCATTCTGTCGAAACTTGGTTTTTCGAAGGTTTCACTTTTAACACGTGTGATCTGTTCACATGATATTTTTTTTTTTACTTTAATTTTTTTAATTTTTTAATTTTAAGAGAACTTCTGGATAAATTTTCAATCAATACGATACAATAATCGATCGATCATATAAAAGTTCATCTCAATACTTCATTTTCTTAGTTTTACGTAGCAAGCAATCCGTTAATGGAACCTGCCGTGTTACGTGATATTGGATTGCTGTGATATTTGAGATAAAGAATAAAGATAAAGAATAAAAGATATAGAGAGAAAGAGAAAATGCAAAGAAAGAAAAAAAAAACAAGAGAGAAAAACAAGAAAGAACAAGAGAGACAGAAATTCGTAGAATTATAAAGAATATTTACCAACATAATCATTTTTATGAACGTTTCGTATGCATCGGTATGGTTCTTTCATGATAAGAAAATGAAAAAAAAAAAAAAAATAGAGAAAATAATACAACAAACCAACCTACGTCGTCTTTTCTATTTCTTATCCTACATTCAAAATAATCTTTCGATATAATATAATATAATATATATATATATATATGTGTGTATATATTTTATGCAATACTTTTTTGAATGAATTTTATACGACAATTTCGCCCGCGGTAAGAAGAACCCATGTGATGGATTTCGTTCTTTCACATAAGAAAGAAAAAAAAGAAAGAAAGAAAAAAAAAAAAAGAAGAAACATTTTATCGTTGAAAGGAGAATATGTGTTGTATTCATCCGCGAATGGAAATTTATCGTGACAAACGTGACAAGATTACTACAGGTTGTTCGATCAAATTTTGTTATCTTTTACAAAAGTTTTAGGGATGTTCCTTAGAGAAAAAGAAAAAGAAGGGATGGGAGAGAAGATCGTTTCTTTTTTTGAATTTATCATATGTAACATTGCGTTGAAAAATATATATATATATATATATTTATTTATATAAATTACGTGTCAGGTTGTTTGTCCGCAAAGGACTCCTAAACTACTGAACCGATTTTAATCAAATTTTCCACACTGTGTGCAGTTTCATCCAACTTGAAAGATAGGATAGTTTGTATCTCAATTTATAATCGCAATATTATTTGTTTATTAACAAAGAGTCATGATTATCTGTGTTAGTTCGATAAGATTCTAACAGACGGCGGTATAAGGTAATTCGTTGACTTAAAGACGTGTGTATCGGACTGATTGTGAGCCACAGCAAACCAAAGATAGGGGCACCCTTAGTATATATATAATATTTATATATTATCGACTAGTCAAAATAATGTTATATAAATGAATTATGTATTTTATACATTTATACGTATTTTTTATCATACGTATTCGTATATTACGTTTATAATACGTAATAACGTATTTGTCATTAAACGAATGATGTATTAAAATACGTACATTAACATGTGACGTAATTATATTAATATTACTTTTTGTAGATAACATAATAATACTGATATAAAAGAAAAATAATAATTTGAAATATCCCGTGACATTTCAAACGGATGGTCATTGTTAAAAAAAAGAAACACATTTACAGTCGAAAAATTCAAATCTTACTTTGTTAAAAATATTAATTATAAAAATACACTCGAATTAACAGAGAAGGATTAAGAAGTATCTTAACGTCACATAAATGTAATGATACGCCTGCACGATTTTTCAAGCATTTCACGGTAGAGACGTGCTTGTTTCCGGACAAATTATGACGTAAGTTTGTTTACTATTTCATTTATTCTTTTGCGGTGAAAATTTGTACATAGTATCAAATATAACTCTCATCGCAGGAGTGGTCTACTCGAGACTCGAATGTTCCTCGTTAAACACAATAATTGCATCCTAGTAAATTTTCGTTAAGTTTATAGCATAGTTTCTTACTGTAGATTTTGTCTTCTTTTTTTTATTGATTTACTTATTAACTTTTTATGAATTCATATACAATCCTCTTTCTTATTTTGTACAATTATAATAGTTTTAATGTATAATAAAATTATTGTTATGTGCTTTCACATGAAAAAAATTTTAATTATTTTGAGTAAGATTAATATGGTTTGTACGATTTTACTGAAATCTACAATATGACGTTGTATACCGTATAAAATTTATGTAACGTCTTTTAAATCGTTCGAAATTAATTTGAAATCTATATACAACACGATCATGTTACATCATTGTTAACAAACGCATTATCTCGATCGCTCTATACGTATTTGAATTAATAATAAAATTACGCTTGATTAACGCGATTACGAAATGAGACGATTGATAGATAAACATCTATGCGAAATTCGATGTAAAACAGGATTTAATTAATTCGTAATTATTTCTTACGTTATCGCGAATGATCATTATGAATATACATATAATCGATATACATAACAATCGTGTGTCCATTTAATGTCGAAGAGAGACTAAATGTTTTTGATATTTTTCTTTGTTTTCTGTTTACAAGGACTTTCTCTCTCAAGGAAGTGATTAATATAACTCGACATATATTTTACTCTCAGCGTGTTATAATGGAGATTTCATGTATCGTTTTCATAAACGACCAACGAGTGTTATTCAAGTCTGTACATTTCTAACCGGTCGTTCACAACATTAAGATGTTCATTATTCACATTTTGTCTTAATACGTGACAGATAAAAATATAAAACGAAATATCTTTCTTCTCTTGGAATAATTTTTTTTGTCTACAAATTTGAAATTCGGTCTAAAAAAAAAATCAAAGAAAACAAAATTGTCTTTTATCGTTATATTTGTTATATTTATTAGAATTAAAATCCAATTTTTTGTTAACCATTTACATATATGTAAATAGTAGTATATATTTGATGCTAAATTTAATATGAATGTCTAATTAAAATTTCGTAATCGGTAATATATTTTAACCTTTGCTTACCACACTTGATCCAAAGGAGCCATACTTTTTTTGCTACTTGAGTCATTTTTCTCAATTGTTCAACTTTGGTAATTTTGTCAACATATTTAAATTTAATTTAAAGCTATAAAATCTATATAGTTTTTTTTTAAGTAAGTATTAAAGAAGTCTCAAAAAAATATTGAAGTAAATCTATGCAATAGTTTTTTTTTTTATAACGATTTTTTTTGTCCGGGTCTAAAGGACCCGAGTGTGGTAAGCGTGTTACTCCATGAAGGGTTGTAAGCAAAGATTAATTAATACTAGAATATTAAAATACCGATATAATTGAAAAAATATAAAATATATTTAATAATATTAATATAATTAAATATAAATAAATAAAATACTTTATTCAATGATACAAGATGTATTTGTATAATGCAATACAAATAGAAAACAATTGCTATTTCTAATTGTATAATAAAATGTTATCTTATAAATTTCCATTTATTTACATCGTTGATCAAAATCGTGTATTCTTTCATTTATTTTTCTCGTAAAATGTCAAGAGAAGTAACAACGATTTACAACGTTCTTTTTCTTCATTAAAGTGCGATCGGCCATTGGGATACATCGATCAATGTGACAAGCGAATCTATTTTCCAGGACTTTAGCATTTAAGTTTATGCATTAATCCTTTTGTGTAATCAGCTATACGAATGAACTTTTTGAAGCGTTATATAATCATGATTAGAAACGTACACACAAAGCTATGTAGAGCTTCGTGTCCGATGATCGATTCTTCCTTTACTTTGAGTCGACTACGTTGGTTTTACGTATTCTCTTATTGTAAGATAAATCGTTAACAAAGAAAAATATATATATATAGAAGAAAAATAATAATGCTTAATACGTCAAGAAAATATTATATTTGTTTTTTTCTTTTATTTTTTTTTTTTCTTTTTTTTTTTATCAATGCATTTTATATTTTCTTTGAGACGACAAATTATTTTCTTTAGACAAATTTCTTAGTTGAGATGATCAGTTATTATAAATGTTATTTTATAAAACATAGAATTATATATGTTTTCAAATAAATATTTATTTTGAAAAATGGAATATTTGATAATTATTATGAATTTATTTTATTCTCGACTGATATGAATATAAGAAATCATGAAATAAATATGTTGAAATAAAGAAGATTTTACGATGCATCATTATAAATATCTCTACGTAGAAATATATACAGAATATTTTAAAATATATAAAAATAATTTCTCAGATGGTTTCGCTGTAGTAAAATAATAACAACAACAACAAACTATTCATATAATCATATCAACGATTTATAGTATGACAAAAAAAAGAAAAAGATTTTAATAATATCGTGAAGAAAAAAAAAAATTGTCGACAAAAATTATTACAAAATGAGACTGCAAAAACGTGCCATAATGAGTATATGCAGAGACATATAATATGTAGAATATACAGATACCTAAGAAAAGGATAATCAAAGAGAGACAAAATATTTCATCTTTCTGAAGTTCTCTCTTGAGCATAATAATTTTTACTTTACGAATAGCAATTTTATTTGTGTATTTTCTTTTTTTTTTGTCCTCTTGCAGATGACGAATTTGGTGAAAAAACAGTCTCCGTTTTGCTTGATGAAGAAGAATCAGAATTAATCTTCATCGATCATCCCCATATAGAGATGAGCGTGAGTAAACGTTGTTTTTAAGATACTAGTTATACTTATTATTTCTTCGAATTTGTTATATATATATATATATGGTAAACAAAATTAATTTCATTCAAATAGTAGTTTTTTTTTATAACGTTATTAATTAGCTTTTTTTTCTATTTCTATAGAATGTTTCAAAAGATTTGAAATATACTTTCATTCTATACATTTTTAATAGCAATTAAGAGAAAAAACATTGAGTTAACTTTGTAATGATAAAAAATTGATCATTAGATTATTTCAGAGCAATATAATCGTAATTAAATTAATTAAAAGTTAAAGTATCCTGTATGATAAGTAATTGGAATATACAGGGTTATCTGTAACTGGTGGTACAAGCGAAAAGGGGATGATTCTACATGAACAAATAAATTGAAAGTATTGAATAAATATTTTTCGTTAGAGGCTTTGTTTTTGAGAAAATTGACTTTGAATTTTCGTAAAGTACGCGTGCACTTGATCATGTCTCGTTATAACGGACCTACGAACTTATTATATAAGAGTAACCTATATATATATATATATATAGGTTAATTCTGAAAAGTTTGTAGAGTAGATTTCTAAAAAGTTCGTAGGGTATTTCCGAAAAGGGTAGGTCCATTATAACGAGATATGATCAAGTGCACGCGTACTTTGTGAAAATGTAAAGTTGATTTTTTCGAAACAAAGCCTCAAACGAAAAATATTTATTCTACATTTTCAATTTATTTGTTCATGTAGAATCATCCCCTTTTCGCTTGTATACCACCAGTTACAGATAACCCTGTATACATATATATATACAAATTATATTATATAATCAAATAAAATACTTTAATATAATATAATATATTATTATAATTAATGTATATAAAAATCGAAGAAAATTCGAAAATTCGAAAATTTTTTTTTATCGCAATTATTTATGTTATCATATTTATATTATTTTGTCATTTCGAAACGCAATAATGAAAGATATTTATAATTTGATAGAATTAGTGAAAAATGTTATAAATTAAAAGTAGAAAATCGTTAGGCAAATAAACGAAGAGAAGAAAACAAAAAACACACACACACACTTGAAACGTGATAAGAAAAAAAAGAATGAAATGAGGTGATATTCGTTTGAAACAGGTAGAAAATTCTTTGTCAACGTACGAGCCACACGCCTGCATCGTGGTCTACTCAATAGTATCTCGCACAAGTTTTCAAATGGCCGAGGAGATACTTAGTTACCTGTGGACCGAGCATTACACAAAGGAACGATCGGTTATCGTCGTAGGAAATAAATCTGATCTAGCACGAAGTCGTACGATTGCGTTCAACGGTGAGAATTGAAATTTTCTATCTTTTACTCTCCCTTTCTTTTGCTTTTTGTTTTTCCAATTAATTTTTTTTTTATTTTTCATTATCACTGAATGAATAGGCTAGTGTATATACTGTAAATAATTATTAAAAAAAAAAAAAAAACAAACAAATTTTATATACGAGATCTTTGAGATTTCGTCGTACAAACGTTGTAGTGGCGTATTCTTGTTGCTCAAAAATACGAAAAAAAAACAAATGTTATAAAAATAATGGTCATTTTTGAAATTTTGTTCAAAAGTTATGACATTAATTGTCAAAGTGTCTACATTTTTTCCTCTAATATGATGTTTAGCAGTTTCGCATGAATTGTATACTATGTTCTTATGATTCAACGTATTGTTCTGCGAACAATAGTTTGGTCGTATAGCTCATTTGACCTCGCTCCGTTAGATTTTTATTTGCGTTGGAAACTAAAACAAAAAGTTTCGGTAACTTAGATAGCTACACTTGATGTTATTACGGTAGAATAAATTAAGAATGCAGTTGCAGATGTGAATAGAAATTCGAGATAAAATCCTTCATGACATAAACAGCATATTACAATAGTGTTCAACTTTTATTCAAGTAAGCGAGCAACATTTGGAACAGTACATTTAAATAATTTTATACTATTAATGTTATAACTTTTAAATAATATATGTTTATATAACATTTGTTCTTTATTTATAAGCACAGAATACGCTTACAATGTTTGTACGATAAAAACCTTAGACATTTTGCATCAAATAAATGTATAAATGGGTACTGGTAATAATGTCAGTGAATTAAATAAAAAGAAATTAACTTTAATAATTTATTTTATATTATAATTATTTATATTTTAATATGTACTGGTAATTATGACAGTGTACTAACAATAAGTCCAATGAGACTGAACTAAAATTTATGAATTAACCTTACAATTAGTAGAAAATATCAAGAGAAGTTTTTAAAACGTATTAAGGTGGCATTTTCTCGTCAGAAATTTAAGAAGTTCTTTCTTAAAGATTAAATGAAAATCATGCCTCATTAACAGAAGAAAGAATGGAAGGACGAATTATCTTAAGATAGGATTCCTTTAGCTTGGTTTTCGAGGGAAATTGAATTCATTGAATCTTTTGTGAAAGTTTGTGGACTCAATTAACTGACTTAATACTAATTAGATAGAAGAAATAGTAATCGTAATAAGCATGAAATTCACGTGAATGCATTGGTCTTGACGGTTATATGGGTAAATAGAATTTCTTGAAATTCGTCAACTTTTTCATTTTTAAAAACGTAAGCTAATTATTATAGAAATAAATATTGTGAAGTGTTATTACTTAAGTTAAAATCATTGACGTTACAAAGACGCGAGGTACTCTAAGAAGTCAAAGATATTTTGCAAGATGTTGCGAATACATATATAAAAACACACGCACATACAAATACATATATATACAGTAAACTCTTCTTTTTCTTTTTCCCATATTCTGCTGCTACCCTTGCGAATAAATCATAAGAAAAGTTTACAAGGACAAGATTATGAAATTAATGAAGTTATTAAATATGAGTGAATTAATTAGGAAGTAGTTTGTCGGGAGACCATGTAATAAAGGGAAGAACATCGTCGTAATGTCGTAGAAGATGAGAGTAGTTCGAATTCCATAGAATTCGAATTCTCCGAGATAATATCGGCACTTTCACTTGTGGGTCGAGATAATTAAAAGATTCTTGAGGATAAAGATCTTTCATAGAACGACATTACGAATGTTCGATTATTTTACATGGGGAAAAAGAGGATGTAAAGGATTTAGGAAAAAAAAAAAGAGAAAAGTGAAATAAAAAAAAAAAAAATAAGAAACAAGTAAAAGAAAAATAATACTTTATTATTATATATTATAAATTGGTCAAATTGTTGTTTGTTAAAGAGGGAAAACAACTGGCGATGTCTCGCGAATGCAAATTCATCGAAACTTCGAGTGGAATAAAGCACAACGTTGACGAGCTTCTGGTTGGTGTATTAAAACAAATTCGTCTACGTGAGAGTCGTGATAAAAAGCTAAGGCGTCAATGTAGCAAAGGAAAAATGTCAAAGTTACATGGCAGTAAAACTATTTACAGTCTCAATCTCGCAAGGGAAATACTGAACAAAATGTGTTTGAACGATAGCAAAAGTAAGAGCTGCGAAAATCTTCACGTTCTTTAAGGAGATAAATCATCAAGGAATGAAGTTTATGAAGAAGAAAATTGTCTTTCGTTTTGTTACAAGAGTAGAAGTTTTGATTTATTTCTTATTTTGACTTCATTTTAGATATTCATAAGTTAATTTTATACCATTCGATAACCAATAATATAAGTACTCACTTACCTACCTCTATATTTTTTTATAATAAAATGAGATAACTTCTAGGACGAGATATTTGATCCCCATTATCGTTAATGATTTTCATATCGAATAATATATATATATATATATATATATATATATATATATATATATATACGCCTGCATGAGATACACAATCTACGTATGCCTCAGTACGGTTTAATTAGCCAAGCTATCGTCGAATAATATTACAAAAAGTAATGAAACATTCAATGTCAATTTGTATAACAGTACTATATGTATAACAGGTACTATAAATTTTAATTCGATAATTTTCTTTTTTTTTTTCTATACACTATTTGTTCATCGAGAGGAATGTTGATAATAACTTTCATTCGTATTGATTATTAAAATTTGTAATATTCGATTAAAATCATTTTTCTACTTTTCTCTCTCTCTCTCTCCCTTTTTCTCTTTCTCTCTTTCTTTTTCTTGCGCTTATTCTTTTCAATATATCATAAATAACTATATAAATACTTTATTATAATAAATAAATACTATGATACACTTGCTCTTTATCAAAATTAAAATTGAAATAAAGAAATTGGTTTTAATGACATAATGTGATATGTTATAATTCAAAAAGCTATCAAATTCGACGACTGTGAATGGTAACTAAATATATACATATTAATTTATTAATGTTAAAATGTGAAATCGTTTAATTCATAAAATAATCAGCTAAATCATAAAATAACTATACTAACCTGTTAAAGTATGAGAAAAGGCAGAATGATATACTTCACCAAGTTAATATAAGAATTGAAGAAAGGTAAGTAGTTAAAGTATACAATTAAAATTTGATACTTAAATTAGATTCTCAATAAAACAGTAAGACTAAAAGAAGAATTAGCATATTTTAAAGACAAATCAGATTTCTATTTCATACTTTAACTACTCGCCTCTCATTAGTTCACATTTCATTTAGTTATTTCTCAAAACAACTAGTTTAAATGTATAATAGAATTTTTATAAAATTCTTTTCCTAAATCGCTTAGTTATTTCATATAATTGTTAAGATTTAGGCTTTTCATGAATTAACTGACAATGACAGTTATATACTTTAATAGTAACATATATATTTATCTAATAACTTTAAGTTTGTCGACGTTTAGATATTCAAGTTGCACTCATCATTTTAAATTGCGAACATGATAATGTATGTGTCTGTGTGTATGGGTACATGCGTTTGTCTACGTTGAATTGGTATCTAAATTCAAAATTAGAATTAAGATGAATGGTCCTAGAAATCCTTCATTTGAATGTTACACAAATGGCTGAGCCGGAAAATCTGGCTTGCTGTTTGTCTGCAGTGCAGAGATTTGATTATTTATTAGATGCTAATTAGCGACACGTGTCTTTTTTGTCATTATTCCTCTCTTTCTCTCTCTTTATCTCTCTCACATAGCATTTACCTTCCTATTTGCGTTTTATCGAACACAGGTTCGTGTAAATATTCTAACGAGAATTTGTTCGATAATAGAAATAATATTTGAAAAGTAACAGTATTAAAATATATTCTTTCTACATCTTTTTAGATATTTAAGAGTATATATATCTCTTTTACGTTTATATATATATATATAATATATTATAAATATATAGATATTTTTAAAAATATATTTATATCTTATAACATATCATATTCTTGTCGATAGATTTTATTAATGAAAATGTTTAATAAATATAAATATGTCCTCTCTGATCCACATATCTTCTCATAATAAATAAATTTAAAGGTTCAATGTACAATATATATATATATATGTAAAATTAATTAATTGTATTATTGTTCGTTAAATCAAAATGTTATATCAAAGGACAATCAATATTTTCAAATTCGTTTAGATCTTTCTAATTTTCGTTCTAAATATCTATTATATATATATAAGTTCTTTCCTTCTTTAAAAATTCTCTTTCACTAAAATAATATTTCAATAAGATAACCTTGTCCTCTGTGTAATATAATATTGATTAAAATCCATTTGCATTATTGAAAGTAGAATAATTGAAGAACAAAAATTCACTTATTATCAAATGCGAAATAATCGGAAAAATATTAGAACTGTTAATTATTCATTGCTAATAAATTTGATCTTTTAATTGAATGTTCAGATATTTTTAGACACGTTGGTAACGTTTGGCTAGATATTTCTAAATTAAATAGAATTTTTTTTTGTAAATATATTTAAATTTTATAAATTAAAATATTTAAATGTACGTTGATGCAAATCGTTTATCATTCGAGTAATTCTGATTTATAAAGTTAATTAGATATTTATAGCTACGATGCAAATGGATTAAAGGATTTTCGCAAAGGAGGATCATTTAGCAATAATTATTATAAAATGTACTTAATTAAAAATGAGATAAAATTTTATCAAACTGCCACGACTTGAAAAACTCGAATGATTTATCAATCGATTGGACGCTGGATTCGTCTATCAAAGTGTGACGCTGGTCGTCTTTGCTTTTCGTAATTGAATATAATACTAATAATAATAATAATAATAATAATAATAATAGTAATAGTAATTAATAGAATATGATATATATGTTCGTACATTTAATGAAACATTCAATAGATAAGTGTGAGCAAAATTAATATAGACTTAAAAGTATGAAAATTATATTCGCGTAGATTTTAAATAACAATGAAAACATTATAAACATAGTATCAAATTTCCATCCTTATTGTTGAATTTTTGACATTAGTAATAACAAATAATCAATAAGTTTAATTATGTCTGTGTAAAAAAAAGAAAAGAAAAGAAAAGAAAAAAAAAATACAAAAAGAGTAAAAAATTTGATGATATCTTTCGCTCTTTCGCTAACTTTTCGTTTTCATGTTGTAAAGTATATTTCGTCTTTTTTTCTTATAAATTAAAAATGATATCATAATCATTATAAATAATGATTAAGTGTGCACAAGTAAATAAGATTCAAATATTTCTAAAAAAAAAAAAAAAATAAATTAAAATTAATTAAGTAATTAATTAATAGAAAATTAATTTCTGTTTAATCATTCATCTAATTATTAATTTTTAATTAATTAATTAATTAATTAATAGAAAAAAAAAGTAAGAAAATACGAAAGTGTGTGCATATAAATAAATTTGTCGAAAAGACATAACTTTCGTTTTAATTTGACCTTTAATTTTGATCATATTCCAAGAAAATGTAGATGAAATTAGTCCCCAATCGTTCGGTTTCGTCAATTATATTACTCGATGAAACGTAACATTTAAATGAGTATCTTTACTTCGCTCTCCGAAGTTCAAGATGAATATTTAATATACAGTTAACGTGAATTAGAATTATCTTGATGGTGTTTAAAAGGACAAAATATTATCATTAGGATGATATAGTAACAAGTATTTTAATGAAATCATCATCATTTAGCAATCACAAAAGAAAAAGGAAAGGAAAAGAGGAAAATGAAATACTCGTGTGTTTGTGTGTATGCTTATGCGTGTTCTTGCATGCATATGTGTGTGTATGTGCGTTATGTTCGTACTTGATTCTAATTCAAGCGTCGTCATAACATCGTGCAATCGTAAAACAATAGGCATAATGATTAGACAAGCATAATTGTCTCCTATTATTTGCATTTGTATGACGTAAAACATAATGTATTTAATGTATGCTCGAACGTAACAATTTCGATGTTTTGTCTATTAATCAATTATCAATTGTTCTGTAAGCACGAGCTAAGTACAGTAAGTTTTCTCAAAATTTTTTTCCTCTTATTTTCTCTATTGTTTTTATCCTGTGTTTTGTATTTTTCTTTTTTTTCTTTTTTTTTTTTTTTTGCTACTTTCGTATTACGTAAATTAATGCATTAAGTAAGTTAAAGAAACAAAAATACAAAAAGAATGTGTCGTTCGCACAATTACAATTTGACAGATTATATCAAATATGTCGAAGAAAATCATATGTATTTTGAAAATTGTCAGACTGATGTATTTTTCTATCTCTATCCTCTTGTTTATATTAATTAATAAAAAATAATAAATTATTAACGGAGTGCTTTAATTATCGTCGTAAATTTATAAAATAATTAATTCTTTTCTTTTTTTTTGTTTGTCTGGAGTAAAATAGGAAAGAATGTGAAAAGAGATGAAAATGGATGATTTTTTTAGGGAATGAAAAAAAAAAGATAGCAACGGATATAGGATTTTTTTTTTTTTTTTGTCTTTTTTTCTTTTGAGAGAGAATTATATTTAAAAGATGTTTTTATAATAGATGGCAATGCAAATGCAAAATAATTCTGCAAAACGAAAGAGATTTATCATGGTAGTTATAAAATGCGATCTCTTGATGGTTGTACGTTTAATTTTTGATATAAGAATAAAATAAAACAAAAAACAAAAAAAAAAGAATAATTCTAACTTCCTCTCTGGAAAACCTACAATTCTCGATATCTTTTAAAACACGACAATGAAATTTTGATCGTTCGTATTTTATCGACTATCTGTAAAGATAATCTAACATAAATGTTTACTACACAACAAATAAAAAACAATATAATATGGTTATGGTTATTTTTTATTTACATAGAATGTATGCAAGTATATAAATATTGAAATACTTTCATATATCTGTAGATGGTTAAAAAAAAAAGAAAAAATAAAATCAAATCAAATCAAATCAAATTTACGTGTCTCTCGACAATTGTTATGCAACAGTTTTGAATTAGTAGAGTTGACAATGAGTTACTGTTGCAAGATAAAAAAAAAAAAAAATAAAAAGGAACAATTTACGATTATTTCGTTTACGTGTGAAAAATGAACGTATGAACGACTTCGGAAATTGAAAAAAAAAAGGAAAAAAAAAAAAACATGCATGGTCATCGATTTTTTTTCGTGTAACTACTATTGACTATCTTCAAATGAAAATGGATGCGTTTAGTTCGTATGACATCATTTCGTGTTATCATTTACGATTATCTAGAAAAACGTTACGGTTTTTTTTTTTTTTTTTTTTCTATCAAAAGGTATTGACTTTGGACAATTTTCGATCGTTCTCCATTTCAAAGATATATTCTCCATCATTATTCTTCTTTATTTGAAAAGAAGGCTTTTCGATAGGGTTCGATATTGGCTTATGTTAACTTTAGATAGGGGAAACTACGAGAATGAGATGGTACAAGAGCGAAAGGATTTATAAGGGGCTAAAAAAAAAGCTATTGTGATTAAAAAGACTTTTCTCATGCGCGAAATGTAGTAATAAATTTCGAGACTTGATATATCTTTTCTCCCGTGTCCCACCAAACAAACGTTCATCCTTTTGATTTTGTTGTTGTTGTTGTTGTTGTTCTATCCTTTTTTTCTTCCTTTCTAATAAATTTCCTCTTTTCCATTATTTATTTTCTGTATTTTTGTTGTCTCTTTGAAATTGTTTGATAACATTTCTTATTTTGTAATCCTCTAATTTATTTTCTAGTATATAAACTTTATTTTTTGTTTTGATTTCTTTTATAAATTATATTTTTACCTAATATCTTTCTCCCAATTCGAGTCTCAATTTAAAATCGTAAAACGCATTTCTATGATATTATTTCTTTTTGAAACAGTTTTTCCTTTTATTTAATCGTTTTCTATATACGCTCAAAACTTTCTCAAGCATCTTTTTTTTTTTTTTTTTTTTCCTAGTTACAGTACATCACAATAGCTATCTGGAATAAAGGAACACGCAATTTCAAACGTCAACTGTCGGATCGGATCGTTGTCGGTTCTTTGTGAAAAACGTCAGTATTTTCATCCTAACGGTTAGAAGTTTTTTGATTTAGCGAAGAATACTTTTCAATGAAGTTTGTTTTTTTTTTTCTGGAAATCTTCCCTTCCAATTGACATAGTTATTTTTTATTGGGTACAGGTTTTCGTGAAAAGGTGTAAATTTGTATATTATAAAAGTATATTTAAAATTAATTTAAACAAAAACAAAACAAAACAAAAAATAAACAAAAAACTGTACAAATATAATAATATGTATATAAACTATTTCGAAATAATATTTGTTCGAATAATTTTTGAAAGATCGATATTTCTCGCGCTAATTTTCGATTGATCGTGTGTATCGAAGATCACTGGTAGTACCATCTGTCGGTCAAACTATCAAACAAATTTTATGATCTACTTCAAATTTATTTGTAAAAACTTAAATATGGATAAGACATGTGTTGTAAATTAATTTTACAAGAATAATATGTATATAATTTTGAATAAAGTACGAGTTTTTTAAACTATCGATACATATCTCACTAGTTTTCGATCGATTGTATCGTCCAAAGGTCGCAAGTAGCACCATCTTCCGGTCGATTAATCAAACGAATGTAAAGATCGAGTCGATAACTGTAATTAGAGTTTGACAATATGGCTGCTTACATGTTTGGCAAAAAGTCTAACGTGAAAATTGTGTCTATTATTGAAAGTATTTCATAATTATCTTTATATTTGTTAAGTTTTAATATACTATTTAAGATACATGGCTACCATAGGAAAAAGTGAATTATCCAGAAAGGACATCGAATCTGCAGACAAAGATGAAAAAGTTAGTATGCATTTTGACGTATGGCGTTTAAAATAATGCACCATGAATGTTAATGACATTTGTGAAGTTAACTTGTATAAAACATTCATTTGTAGGAGACACTCCTGGAACATGACAGTGAACCCGATGAGGATATGATATTTAAGTAAGTCGTTGGAAATTCTATGGATAATATGAGCCCAATTCATTTGCTAAATTATTAACTCATATTTCTTCAACAAAAAGTAGAAAAAAGATTGTTTCATGATTTATCATTCAACTTTCATAACAATTGTTATCATTCAATTTAAATATTAAACTCAAATAAGTAATTTATTTTAAGGGTTTAGTATTTGCTTAACATTTATCATTAWTATTATTTAATTTAGTTATTTGAAAAAGTTATGTATTGATCAAACACATTGATAATGAAATTCAAAGAAATTCTGAAAGTTGAGTTAACTAATTTGGACTGTGAATAGCTCATATAATATTTCTTAATATGAAATCATTTTAGCAATCTTGGATCATTCTCTTTTTCTATTATTCTATTCTTTTTAATCATTTTTATATTATTTTCTAATAGAGCCATGAAGAACTGATTGGTATATCGATTTCCAATACCGGAGGTTTATTATGATCATGAAAATGATGAAGCCATAAAATATACTTTTATCCTCCCATTATGTTTGATGTTTGATTTCAGCCGGCCGAGTACTTCAAATGGAAATGGCAGAGTCGATGGGAAAATGGATAGGTAAATATATATGTAGTCTTTTTATTTATATTTAAATATTACCATACTGATTTTGTGCTTACAATTTAAGTAGAAATTTAAATTGTAGAGATTGTTCAGAATTATTCTAACATTAATCTTTCAAGAATATGCAATGAGACAAATAAATCACGGATATATCAAAGTAATTTATATAGCAAAAAATATAACACCAAAGTTCATTAATTAACACAAGTGTATTTAATATTGTTGTTTAGTGTCAAAATCCAAATTGAAGATGTGACAAATGTGATGCGGGACAATGTAAAGAAAGTCATGGAACGTGGAGAAAAGTTAGAGGATTTACAAGATGCGAGTGATCGATTGTCCATGACTAGTAACCAATTCAGAGAAGCAGCAAATAAAGCTCAACGAAAGATGTGGCTGCAGAACTTGAAATCACGGATTTTTATTGTCACCATTATCCTGACCATTATTTTCTTTATCTTTGGTATGATCAATGTGTCATGATTATATTAAACACAAACATATGAATTGCATGATCTTTATTCTTGTTTTTTTTTTTTTTTTATAAATTCGCGTGTTTGCATATTGTGTTAAAAAATTCTATAATTAGCTTTGCTATAGTAGTATTACTTTTTATTTGGTATGAATAACTCTCGTGAGTTGAACTTTTTACAAGAGAAAGCTGGAATGCGTGAGAGTCTGATTTTTGTTTTTTTTTCGAATTTTTCACACTTGTTTGTAGTGGTCTATAAGAATATACATTGTATTTTTTAATAAAACAAGATCTCGATTTGTTAAAACCTACAATGTATATTTTCATGGATTGTGCAAGCAAATGTGTAAAATTTGATAAAAATTACTCCAGCCTCCCTTTGTAAGAAAGTAAAGAGTTACTTTTGTCCTTTAGCTCCTTTTTTTCATTCTCATTAAGAATCACTTACTAGATCCATTTCCCGCGTATCGTTTTCAGTTGTGGACATCTTGGCGCTTTTCCTGGTTCTCAGATAGCAAACGTCCTATAGAATGGTATTTCATTCCTCAAATTGAAGGTACATGCGAGTTTAACTTATCTCTTGTTTTTAATCATACGTATTATCTACAATCTTTTATTTACAGGCTCGTATCGACTCGGCGATATATTTTAGTATTAGCACGAAAGATAAAATACTTTTTCATCATTTTAAATGAAAAAAATTGTCTTCTGCGATAATCATATTTATGCTATAAAATGCCATTGCCTTTTTACTATACACTTTAATGCTTGTTCCTTTCGATTATATTCAACATTGACTCATTCATTTTTAAACACTTATAATAATATACGATACTTTATTTTTGTTCATTTATTATTTTTTTTTGCAGTATCTGTTATTGTCAAGTATTGGTGACCTTGATACCTTGAAGAACGTGCAACCAGTCGATGTCACAAGCACAGACCTTGTCTTTGTACCTTTCTTTCGTGGAGTATTATTACAGCGATGCTTTCCTAAAATTTGTCAACCGATTCACAGTCAAATTATTTTCTTACATTTTAGTTTATATTTTAAATATTAATATTTCTTGTTAAAATATTGTGATTCGTTAAAGTGACAGACCAACTCGATAATATTAATATATATGATAATGAAACTTACTTTATGCAATTTTTAACAAATCCGCAATTTATTAGTAATACAATAACCATATAACAATTGAACTAAACAAAAGAATTATAATTACTGATAAAGAAATACTTTGAAACTTTATATAATGGTAGTTAGATCAAATTTTCAAATTATTTCAATTAATTAATATATTTCTATGATAAGTTAATTTAATTCTATATAAGTGTTTGTAAATGGTGCTAATTATTTATAGAATTTTATAGAAAGAAAGAAGAAAAATAGTCGTACATGTAACTATCAAATTAACAATTATATTTTATATAAATTTGCATTAAAAATATTAGAAAAGTAAATTTATTTTATGTTTGTTGCTTATTATTAATAGTTCGCGTGAACCATAATATTAACATTAAACAATTAGCGCGAACTGATGGTAATCAACAGTAGGAAAGCATCTCTGGAATATTATATAATCGCGAAGTGATTTAATTATAAGCTTGTATAAATTTACATATAAATATAAATATATTCTTTTACACATACATTTGTTATATAATATTAAATATATTTGTCGTGTTAAAAATAAAATCGTAATTACGATCAATATAATATGTCTAGATACAAATTTCAATTTTCTAATAATCTAATCGTCATATTTTGTACCAGTTTTTTTTTTTTGTCTATCCTTATCGTTATGAGACAAACAAAAATTTTCGATACAAATGGTATATAATCTAAAATTTACAAAATGTTTGAAGTCCAATGCAATAACCGTGTTATTGTTTATAAGGTGCTCAATTCTATACATATGCCAATTATCATTGATTATGCAGAAATAAACAAATGGTAATTTATTTTGTTTATTTTTGATAACGCACAAAAGGTTGGTTAATTCTGACGATTTTGTTTTTATAACGAAATATAAACAAAATAAATAAAAATAGTTTAAAACAAAAACAAATGAGACAAAAAAGTGTACAAAGCAAAGTGTCTTGTATCGGTTTGTTCGACTCGTCAAAGAAAAAGAGATCTTTGAACGAGAATGATGAGAATTAATCATCAGAGTGTTAAAAAATTGCATTCTTTTCTACGACGTCGGTTACAGCAATATCCTGCTATAATGGGCACTTAGATCGTATATGAGTTGGTGAAGCCAAGTGCAATAGAAAGAGGGAGAAAGATATAGATACGTAGATGTAACTTGAACGTTACGAACTAGTCGTCGCTCGGCTGCCGGTTAACTCGTTCGTTATAACTTCTGCCGGTCGAGCTTAGAGAAAAAGAAAACAGAAAGTAAAATTATTTAAAAAGAGAAGAAAAACACAATTTAAATCGTCATCCAATCGAACGATCTAATATAATTAATCATTCTTTGTATTAACTTAATATATTGTATAATTTGAATTTTTTTCTGAACAGTGTGCGTTATCGTGAACATTGTGTAGTTTCTTTATTTTTTTTTCTTTTTTCGTTTATTATTAGTATTATTATTATTATTATAGTTATTTAGTTTTTTTTTGTGTTTTTTTTTTTTTTCATCTCTCGTTATAATTTTACGCATAAATAAGGGGGATAGGAAAAGGAAGAGTACAAAAAAGCGTTTTGATTCTTTGAAAATCTGCATGCGCCGTAGAGCGTTAGGATCTATCGAGAGAGAGAAGAGAGAACAGTTGCAGGAGGGAACTTAAGAAGAACGGCCGTTCGATATTACAAAAGCATGTCAGCATTTGAACAGATACTCGTCGCTGCGGCGAGCATCGCTATTGGAGGTTTTTTTCTGACAGGAGGACGATGGCGTTTCATTTATGTGCTTTACAAAACTGCACCTAGAGATATTTTGTGAGTATTTTATTCTATTTTTGTTCTTTCTCTTTCCGTCTCATGTAAATCACCTATTTTTCCTATACTTTTGTTTTTTTATTTTTTGGCATTGAACGTGTTTGTAAATGAGCTTTTTTTTTTATTATCAATGCATGTTATTCTATTATTATTATTATTATTATTATTATTTGTAAGAACTATGTTATTTGTTTTAAGTGAACATTTAAAGAGCACAAATATTTTCAATTTGTTTCAAATTGTTATTTATAAAACGTGTTTGTATATCGAGTTTATTCTATCATAAAAACCATATTATTATATTAATAATATTATGTAGAAAAAATCTTTTGTTCATACGTTTGAAGCACACTTACGTTTTATGTCGATATATAATTTTTCTTTTTAGAATATATATTTTGTCATATCCGTCACGTGTTAATTACTCGTTGTTTACATTATCTTCGATCATCTTGGACTTCGAACTTTTCAATAATTTGCTGAAATACATTTCAATTGTGTGAAAATAATATATCGATCATTTCAATCAAGATTAATTAATATGAGCTTGTGACTCCTTCAGAGAACAACCTTTGGAACATTTTGTATACTTAGAATGTTCCGACGTGTTTATTTATAATTACATGAATACGTAATTAAGCCGATAATACAGTTTAATCCTTAACGAACGAGCGCAGTTTATTGCAATATAATATCTGTAATCGAAATAATGATCTGTAGATTGACGGATTTTTAAGATATTTAGGTGCTTTATTTCCAGAGCAAGACAAAGTGCATAATTAATTTTGTTTTATTAGATTTTTTGGAAATTTTTAGTAGTAATAAGTAGTATATGAATACACAGATTTATTTATATAAAAAGATACTAAAGTGTTAATTAAAGAAAAATAATCAGATTTGAAATAAACCAATATGTATATATGTATGTAATATTTAGACATGTATAAATTAAAAAATATATTTTTTTTATTATGGATTTACATTTAATCTATACAAAATTACTTAAATTTTTATATATTTTGATACAACTTTCAACAATCCCGTATGTGCATACAGGTTTTTTTTGATATAATTATCGCAATAATTACGTGTCTCGTCAAAAAAATCAATGAACTTTATTAAACGTTTAAAAATTTTTATTTTTTCGCTTAATGCTCGAAGAGGAACGCACCAGAATGCATCGAGAAACAATTGCATTCATTGTAATGTAAAAATTCATGCAAAACTTGATAGATTTTCTAAATTATTACGTCATGCTTTCTGTATTGCGGCATTCATTCGTTAAGAATTAATTAATATTAAAATGTGCACATAAAGATGAATATCAAGAGATAATTTATGTTTGTAGTCTTTTATCTATGAACGTCACAGTATCTGTCTACATATTTTGTTGTTCGTTGTATAAAATTTCTTTTTTTTAAAATATCATTATTATAACATGTACACAAATACGTATTTATACGACTGTTATTAAATATTCATGAATAATTTACAATTTTTGATGTTTTCTTTTTATAATTATTATGTATACATTGTGTTTATAGTATCGATTTAAGATTGATTATTTTGTTAGTCAACTAATAAGATCAAAGACAATTACTCGCTTCGCTATATATAACTTAGAAAAAGCTTTTCACGCATGATTAATGGCCTGTAATAATTTCTACTTTTGTGCTACGCTGCCAAAGTGTTTTGATTTAATTTTAACAAAATGTGTAATACAATTATATGCTTGATTTTGTATGCTATTTGTGAATTATCATAATATTCACCTATACAATTTCGATGTAAATACATAGAGACAAAATTTGATTGATTCATTTTGTAAATTTAATATTTCATTGTTAATGTAAATAAAATTGTCATTATAATTGTTATTGGTACTGTTTTCGTGAAAATAATTTCAAAATTTCAATTGAATTAATTTTGATTTTTGTTAAAAGATGTTTTAGAAATGTTGACAAATTTATAAAAATACTTATATAACTTAATTACGTTTTAATAACTTAATTACGTAACTTAAGTGTGTATGATTTTGTTTTAATTTTTATGAAACTTCCTATTGCAAAATCGTCTGACATTAATCATCTAATTATAATAATTTTTCTTAATTATACCTTGAGGTGTAAAAAAACATTTTATATCCTATTATTCCATTTATTAGTTTTCATTTTATTAATTTTCTATTTTTTTTTTCTATTTATTGAATATTACAAATGTTATTTCGTCATAGTATATGAATCTATCTTATCTAATGATAATTTATAAGGAAAGAATTTCATGTACTTACTAACGTAGATCGAACTGACGGAGTTCGTTGCAACTCACTTGACCTCGATAAAGTTGGGGTCATTGAGCTTAATTATTATGCTGGAGGCGTTGCTGATCCTATATGCACGTATAAAATGCACCGATTGTATTATATATGTGTCTAAGGTCAATCAATCATATTCGATAGGTCGAATCGCAATGTTAAGTTATTACATTTTTGGTACGAACTCAAATCTCCGTTTAATACGTTTAATCGAATAAAGTTAATCAATTATATTCGTATTCGAAAACTATTTAACATAATATATTGCGCTCCTGTACTATAATTTTTATTTTATTTTTATCCTTATCATTGTTTTTTATATTTTTGCATTAAATACAAAATAAGTATTATTATTAATTTTACATTTTTTTTTTTTATCATTATCAATTTGTATGCTTAAAAGAAGTAATGTAAATTTATTTATATTCTCATGGTATACCTTTGTATTATATATGAATTATTTATTTTCGACGAATGCTATAGATATTGAAATGCATTTTTTTTTTTTTTTTTTTATAAATATTTCAATCCGTAGTTCATTTGTTTGGTCTTGTAGATTTTTGTATTTTAAGGAGTAGTAACTTGTTAGGCATATCCAGTACGCTTTTACTGTTAGTAAAGTCTAGTCCCTATCGACGCACGTTGATATTAACGAACGAGCAGTAAGTGAGGCAGATTGACTAAGTGTTGAGTCTTCTTGTGTGACTAACGATTATTGCTAACGAGCAGGATAAATGCTTCAGCAATCGTCAATGGCTAACTTCTATCGTACGATACTTTTCTTTTTATTTCGAGTTGTCAGAAAATGTAAGTACATGTATATATACATAAACATATACATATATATATATATATATATACAATTGTATAAATCTAATTAATGAAAATCTAAACACTTCAATTATTTAAAAAATATTAGAGCGTCGATTTCTAATCCGTTATTCCAAATAAAATCATCGGAAGTATTCGCAACTGGTTGATGGATCGTCATATCACATGGTCGCATTTATGATGCGATTAGACTTTGATCCCATTTATTGTCATGAAAACGTTAGGGTGCATCGAAAATTTAAGTACTTCCGGTGGATGAACTGATCGTTAATAGTCGATAATAATAGATTAATGAAAAGGATATTTTTACATTGTAAAAATAATGTTTGCGTGTAAGAACAAATAATAATAAAATACAGGTTGTCTTTTAAAATTTTATTTCAAATAAGCGTACTTGAACGTAATAGACGTTTCTTATACACTAAATATATACATACACACACACACACACACACGTACACATATTGATACGTTAAGCTTCAGTTGACATTGACGGTTTTATTGCATCTCGTTGAACGTAACTTGTTCCAGACAGGAAAACTCGTTTTTAACCACAAAGATTCTAATAGATACGACATTTCTAAAGATATTTATCACAAATTTTATACATCTGTGCAAATATAACATTAATAATATTTGTAATAACTAAGTTTTAAGTACACAACGAGGATTCAACGAAGAAATTTACTCTCCTCCATGTTATTCGTTATCTCATTCGGTTCTATTTAATCATTGCGAATATACGTAGTTTAACTGGTAGGGGAACTGTGACGAGTGTCGACTGATAGGAACGAGCTTGCTAACAAAGACAAAGTAATTTTTCATATTCATCGTAAAAATTTGTAATATTTTAAATAAACGTAACCATTTCTTTATGTAATAAATTATTTCATAAGAAAAAAAGAAGAAAAGAAAAAACAATACAGTATTTTCCTAAAACATAAAAAAAGAAGTTTTCATTTGTTTCGTAATAAAGATAAAAAATGAATTAATTAAATGATATGTTAATTAATCACATTAATATTTTATATTGTTCTTGAAACTAATTTGAGAAAAATATTATAGTAATCAGATGAAATTGATCTTAACATTCTTATTCTTATGTTTTTCGTTTCATTTAAAATTATTGTACGTAATAAGAGGAAGGAGTAAATGAGCGAGTATGCCGAGCAGGAAGGAACGTTAATTAAAGAAGCGTGGAATGCATATGATGGCCTTAATCATTCCTAACAATTCACAATGATCCTTTCTATGCATGACTTCAAGAAAAACATCGGCTTTTCTTCGTGCTAGTGAAAGAGAGATAAATATTATATTGCTAATTAAATATTAATGTTTGTCAAACGAATAGAAATGAGTTATTAATAAAAATGTATATATGTAATTATACGTTACATAATTATGCATCTTAATTTTAATTAGAATTTAAAAATAATACATTTAAGTATTATAAAATAATAGTTCAAATATATATAATTATAAAACTAAACTCATATATATATATATATATATATATATATATATATATATATTAGTTTTGTAATGAATAAAAATTCTTTTAAATGGATTTGTTCCTTTCATAGTCCAACTATCTCGGTGAAAAAAAAAAAAAGAAAAAAAACTATTCTCAGAGAGCTTTCATACATGTAGGTCTGATAACCATGCACGCACGTGTTCTTTATGAAATTAATCAATTTACATCGATAGGATAAGATGTCGTGCTAGCTAGCACGAAGAAGTGTATTCAGGACTCGTGTTCGTGACCGTGATTCGCTCGTTTTGTCACCCCATTTTTTGTAGAACACAATGGAGTCTCTACGAGACCAAGAATGAATTCAATTGATAGATGAATTATTTATGATCGTGATCTAGTTTGCACGACTAACACATTTCTTTAGAAATAACAAACTATGTAATATCCTTAGACAATACAAATTTACGATATTGTAATCGATTAAGGAAATCGATTGTTATATGAAGATTAATTATATTTGCTGGATTTGATTTATGTTTTTAACATTTTTCATCAAGATATTGTATATAATATTTAATTTTATATTATATTATATATTTTTTGTTTGTTTCTTTGTTTTCAGAGGTGCCATTAGATTTATACGAGTGAATATACTCTTATGGTGGTGGGAGACTCGAGGTTTTACAGTAGCAAGAGTATTTTCAAGATTGACTGAACGTCATCCTGAAAAAGTAGCATACATTTTCGAGGATAAAGAATGGACCTATCGGCAGGTAAAGATTTATTAATTTTTTCAATTAATATATTCTACAAATAATATTTAATTATCTTTTCCTTTTTTTTTGTTAATTATATGATTTCAAAATAAAATATATCGAAGTGAAATCACGAAGACAAATTTTCTACAAAAAAAAAAAAACCAAAAAATAATAACCAAATTTTATTCTCGTCATATTTATAGCTCGACGAATTCAGCAACAGAATAGGAAGTTATTTTCACACGCGATCACTTTCACGGGGGGATAGCATAGCTTTAGTTATGGAAGGTCGTCCGGAATACATTGGAACTTGGTTGGGTCTTAGCAAGGTCGGTTTCGTCGGTGCTCTTATCAACACCAATCTTCGACAAGAAGTTTTAATCCATAGCATTAAAACAGCAAACTGCAAGGCTCTCATCTTTGGTTCTGAACTTAAAGACGGTAAGAAACTTTTCTTTCTAATTAATTGAATACTTTATAATTTGAAAACTTTTAATATATTTTATCAAACCATCCAAAAGATCAACGGTAAACTTTAACAAAACTAAATATATTGCTTAAGTGATACAATGTCAACAGCGTATTTAAAATGATAATTATTTTATTCTAAATACTTGAGACAGAATGTAAAAACATATTTCAAAATTAGGATAATGTTAAAGTACTTTTTAAGGAAGATAAATCATTTGAAATTAATCATCAGAAACAAGAGACACCATTGATAATAAAATTAATCTAGGCTTTACTTTTTTTTTTAGCGGTACGTGATATAAAGGACAAATTACCAGAATTGATGCTGTTTCAATGGTCAGAACACGAAGATGTATCTATATTAGAGGGAGCAATAGATCTAAACAAAGAAATCCTCAGTTTAGATCCAGAACCTCCTCTCAAAGAAATGGCTTTAGGTACTCCTCGAGACAAGTTGATATATATTTATACGTCTGGTACAACTGGAATGCCAAAGGCAGCGGTTATAAATAATCTCAGGTATGTTGAAGTATTGATGAAATATTTCTTCATAAAAATTGAAATTATATATCATAGAAAAATTGTGTGTGGATTCTTTCAGGTATATGTTAATGGCTTATGGCGTTTATTCCATGCTGGCTCTACGTTCAGATGATCGAATTTACAATTCTTTACCTCTTTATCATACTGCTGGAGGTATTATTGGGGCTGGCCAACCATTGCTTACAGGAATAACAGTTGTTCTTCGTAGACGTTTCAGTGCCTCCAAATTTTGGTCCGATTGCGTACATTATGAATGTACCGTAAGTACATTTTTATTATAAAAAAAAAAAAAAAAATAGATATAAAATTATAAATTGAATGATAACGAATGTTTCATTTGTTTTTAACTGCATATACAAATAATTGAATAGTTTTATTACAACTTTATTGATCAATAAGTTGTGGTATAAATTTTAGTATTTTATATTAAACAATACTTATATTTTTTATGAAATAATATATTATTAATTAAATAAATAATTTTTATTTTCAGATTGCTCAGTACATCGGAGAAATTTGCCGATATCTTTTAACTGTTCCACCAAGTTCCTATGACACAAGTCATAAAGTAAGACTTATGTATGGGAATGGTCTAAGGCCACAAATTTGGAAGCCTTTCGTTGAGAGATTTGGCGTTAAACAAATTGGTGAATTTTATGGTGCTACGGAAGGAAACTCGAATCTTGGTAATTTATTTTCTATTTGTTTTTTTTCTCGATAAATTTAATGAAGCAACTCAATGTATAATTAGATATACTATGTTGAATTATTATTCGTGTTTACATCGTAGTGAACATCGACAATAGAGTCGGTGCAGTTGGATTTGTGCCAAGGTTTGCTGGTAATCTCTACCCAGTTACCTTGTTGAGAGTCGATGAAGAAACTGGAGAACCAATTAGAGGACCTGAAGGGTTTTGTGTACCTTGTAAGCCTGGTATGTTTAAAATACAAATATTTGTTAATATTTTAAGAAATGTTTGATGTCACGTTTTAAAGATTTCATATTTTTCAAATTGCAATCATTGTTGCAATTATGTGTGTGACTGAATTTTGGTTTATTTTAAAATTTTCAAAATAAAATATATAAAAATCAAATCACGTAAAATATATCCATTTGAGAAAAAAATGTGTTTTTTTTTTTTTTTGATGTCATGTAAATTATTATAATTAAATTACAGTTAGATATTGTTACCTACAATAACTATTGATACAAATTTTGTTAATTTCATTGTCGATAAAATAATTTAATTTCTTTTTTTTTTTATCTTTAAATGATTTAGGAGAGCCTGGTGTTTTCGTTGGAAAAATAAATCCGCGCAAGGCTGTAAATGATTTCAGTGGTTACGCCGATAAGAAGGCATCAGAACAGAAGATCATACGTGACGTCTTCAAAAAGGGTGATCGTGTCTTCAATACCGGTCGGTTGAAATAATAAGACAAAAAATTAAAAAAAAAAAAAAAAAAAAAAAAAAAAAATGCGGTCATTTTTTACGACTTTCTGAGAAATCATCTATGCAATGATTTAACCGCATTTTTCGAACAGGTGACATTTTGGTCATGGATGAATTGGGATACTTCTACTTCAAAGACAGAACTGGTGACACGTTCAGGCATGTTTTGTATTTTCAACGTTTAACTATTATACTCAATGTTTGTTACATTTATTGAATTAACTTTTTTCTCAAATGATTGTTGTATTGTTAATTAGGTGGCGTGGAGAAAATGTGGCCACTTCTGAAGTTGAAGCAGTAGTTAGTAATGTCATAGGTCTCAAGGATACAGTCGTTTATGGCGTCGAAGTGAGTCATTTATTTTTCATTTTTATTTCCCCGCTTAAATTTATGTAATTAAGTAATTTATAATAATATAGTTTCGATATTTCAAAAGAAAATGTATTATTTATTATTTATTATAATATATCATTTAATAAATAAATTTTATTAATTTCACAAACTACTGTGTTTAACAATAAAATAAACATTATAACATACATTTCTAAATGAGTTTTACGACAATAAGTTTAAATGTCTTTTAAAATTTTAACAGGTACCGGGAAATGAAGGTAAAGCTGGCATGGCTGCTATTTATGATCCGGAAGGATCTTTAAATTTAAAAGAATTAGCTGATGGTGTTAAAAAAGTTCTTCCTATCTATGCTCGACCACTTTTCGTTCGTGTCCTTTCGAAACTACCTATGACTGGTAATTTGTGTGATAAAATCTAATTAACTTATTGAAGATATTTTGTTTGTATTATTAATATCTTTTTAACAGGTACCTATAAGTTGAAGAAGAAGGATCTTCAATCCGAAGGTTTTGATATTACAAAGGTAGACATTGAATCGATTATTTTTTGAATAATCAGTTTTACAAAGTTTGATTTATTAAATGTTGTTCATATAGTTCGTAGATCCAATTTATTTCCTTGATCGGACGGGCACATACGTGAAACTGACAGATGATTTATACAAAAACATTCTTGAAGAAAAAGTTCGGATATAGGAGTTTTTTTTTCCCCTATTTTTTGTTGGGATAAATTGTGAACATATTTTTATATCGAAACATTATCGAGAAATTTGAAGATAAGTGATTACAACAAATTATTTAAATACTCGTCGAGCTTAACGCTCTCAAGAAATTAATCGCACAATAAATTTGTTGTTAAATTTATTATTAAAGAAGAACAATCAGAGTGATTAGACGAACGTGCCAAAAATAAGAAGGAAACTTTTGTTAAAAAGTGTTGTTGGTATATTTTGTAAGCCATTAAAGAATATGTTTAAGATATTTGATACTACGTCCTAAATACGTTTTCTTTTTTTTTGATGCCCACGTTCCTTGTTGAAGGCTGAACACGTGAAATATGAGATATAACATGAGACCTGTTTATAATTAATTTAACATGTCAGCAGCCGGCAAAGTGTTCAAAAAATTGAGATGTATTATCCTATAATGTAACCAACTTGTTGCAATATCTTAAACCAATTAACTTTGTTACGGATTAATATTTCTATTAATATCTGAAAAAGGATTGGTTATACTAAGGAGTAAATGCAGCAGAAAGTAAAGATTTGTAAAGCCAGGAGAAAAGGTTCAGGGTCCCAAAAAGCGTCAATTCTTAATCTTCATTCGATTCTGTAAATTCAGTCTTTGATTAGTTATTAAGTCCGTATTTTGTAATAATTAATAAATTTGTATATTAAATTTCGTAATAGATTAATAAGTATAAGAAAAGAAAATCGATGAATTAGTAACTCTGTTACATTTATTTTAAATATTCTATATTCTCTGTTAACTTTGACCAATCAACGTTTATTTATTATTGAAACAAGGTTTGTCTAAAGAAGTCGCAGGACGTAAAAGTTGTTTTTCAACAGTTAAATGATTTAATGATGATTAAATGATAATGAATTAATGATCCTCAATGTCAATGAAAACACTTACGAGTTTTATACGTAAAAGAGGGAACAATGATTGTGACGTAGTATTTATTATAAAGACAACAAACACATTATATCTATAGGAGTCTGATATTTTTAGTATCATCTCACAACTGTTTCGTTGAAATAAACTTCTTGACTTATTAAAACATATTTTCGATGTAATCGAAGTCTTCGTTGAAATAAAAAAAAAACAACGTTTTATTTTATAGGAATAATATTTGAATGCAAACTTTTTTCTTATTAATTACAAATAATAATAATTTGAACGCTTTTCAATCATGTAATACGGATTTAATAAATATTGTCATAATTTGTGCGCAGTCTCCGTATGAATCCAATCACTGTTATTGTCTTTTCACGAAATCTTTATTCTTTGTTTTTTTTTTTTTTGGATTTACGAAATTATTATTAAAAAATATTCAGTTATTTCAATCAATTTTAATGATTACTTTCATCGACAATATTTATTAATTAAAATTACAAAATATCAATTACTTGACAATATTTTGCCCGTTCTTCTTATCAAATATTATCGAAATCATATAAAGTCGAGACATAAATATGACACAAATACGGTTAGATCAAATATGATTGTTCTATTTACATTTGAAATAAGTTTTCGTCTCATCACGCAGTGGAATACTAACTTTACTGCTTCACGTTGTGTTGTGACGTTCATATTACATAACTGGCTGTCTCCAATCAGGCAACGAACTAACGAAAGATTTTCTGATGAACTGACACGAGCTGGCGCTTTTTATCAGTGTACCAGCGTCGCTTAGTATATACCCTTTGGAAAATAAATTTGATCGGTACAATTTACGAATTTACGTAAGTACCACGTGTTTTATTAATTATTACACCGTCAATGAAAGATTATTTTGAATGAGTGTTTAACACAATATGGTATAAAAATAAAGAGAATAAAATTTTAAAAATCGTGCGCAATTTTCAATAAGTGGAATAAGATCGACGTTGTGTTAACTTATCAAATCAGTATAATATCAGTCAAACGGATATTTCATTTGTTATCTCTGTTTATTATTTGAATTAGGTTTTTTCTTCTACATCGCTGAACGAATGAATTTAAATCTTGTTTATTAATCTGTCGACGCTACAATGGTAAACATGGATAATGACAAATTTTCATTTGCCATCGATCGTGGTGGTACTTTTACCGACGTCTACGCAAGGTGTCCTGGCGGGAAAATTAGAGTTATGAAATTATTATCCGTTGATCCTGCTAATTACGAGGATGCGCCACGTGAAGGAATTCGTAGGATACTCGAACAGGTGTTTAAAATTTGCACGTTTAAATATTTATATTTATTTCATATTTTTATAATATTTATTGACATTATTTACGAAGAAAATTATCTTCCATTTAAGATACCGGAAGTAACAATTTTCCAATAATTCGTTTTTAGTTTCATTTCATATTTTTTTTTTTTTGTAGAAATAATTTAAAATAAATAAGAAAAAAACTACCTTTGTTGTTACAAAAATAATGACGAGTAATAAGATTTTAGGAAACTGGAGTGAAAATGAACGGTGAAGTTGATACTTCCAAAATAGCTTGGATTCGAATGGGTACAACAGTGGCTACAAATGCGTTGCTTGAACGCAAAGGTGCTAAAATGGCGCTAGTATTAAACGAAGGTTTCAAAGATATTCTTTTTATTGGTAATCAAGCAAGGCCAAACATCTTTGACTTGGTTTGTATTATTATAAAATAATTATTTTTTGTTTCTGTACATTTATACAATATTAAAAATAACGATTGTCATTACAGGAAATAATAACACCAGAAGTTTTATATAAAAAAGTAGTTGAAGTAAAATGTAGAGTGATACCAGCATTACCAGGAAGATGTCAACTTGTCAAAGATTCCTGGAGAAAAGTAAAAGGTTCGACAGGAGAAGATTTATTCATTACACAAGAATTGGACGAAGAAAAGTTGAAAGGAGACTTGTTGGAATTGAAACAATCAGGAATCGAAAGTATTGCTGTAGTTTTAGCACACAGTTATACGTAAGTTTCATTACAAAAAATATATATTTTTTAAAATTAATTGAAACAATTTTTTGATTTAGCTCATTCATACTTACCGGCATATATGTTTAAAAAAATATGCTTTATAGGATGTTGTATTTATTGTTAGTTTGTTTCTACAGTAAATAAAAGTTTAGTATATATTTTTTAGATACACTGAACACGAAATCAGAGTTGGCCAATTGGCTAAAGAACTCGGCTTTTCTCAAATATCTCTTTCTCATCAAGTAATGCCGATGACTAGAATCATTCCACGTGGATTTACGACTTGTGCTGATGCTTATTTAACACCACATATCAAACAATATCTGCAGGTATCTCAATAATATCAATAATATCATCTAATCACATGTTTTGTTAACATTATCACTTCGATATTTTTTTCTTTTTAGGGATTTTCTTCTAAATTCAAGGACAATCTGAAAGGTGTTAACGTTTTGTTCATGCAAAGCGATGGTGGATTAACTCCCATGGATTCGTAAGTTTAAAAACAAAACGTAAAAAATTTAGAAAATCAATCCTGTACGATATGTTAATTAAATTTATTCGAATTTAGATTTAATGGGTCACGAGCCATATTGTCTGGTCCTGCTGGCGGTGTCGTTGGATATGCCATGACGACTTATGGTAAAGAAACCGATCTACCTGTAATTGGTTTCGATATGGGAGGAACTTCGACTGATGTCAGTCGTTATGGTGGAAGTTACGATCACGTTTATGAAAGCACTACAGCTGGTGTAACGATACAAGCGGCTCAGGTACAAAAAAGAAATATTATAACAATGTTTCGACGGTTGATATAAAAATATATCAGAATTTTACATTGAGAAAATAAAATTCGGTTTAAGTTGGACATAAATACAGTTGCTGCTGGAGGTGGATCAATGCTTTTCTTCAGATCGGGTCTTTTTGAAGTAGGACCTGAAAGTGCTGGAGCTCATCCTGGACCTGCATGTTATAAGAAGAATGGTCCCTTGGCAGTAACTGATGCAAATTTGGCCTTGGGTCGATTACTTCCTGAATATTTCCCACAAATATTTGGTCCTAACGAGAACGAACCTTTGGATAAACCTCGGACTATGGAAGCTTTCGAAAAACTTACTTATGAGGTTGTCATATCGTTTCAATAAAAATTTTAATAAATTTCATCATTGAAGTGATCTAAAATTGATATTTCATTTTTATTACAGATCAATGAGTATTTAATAAATGAAGGTTTGAGATCCGAATCTGATAAAATGACGATCGAAGAAGTTGCGATGGGATTTATCAAAGTTGCTAATGAAACGATGTGTCGACCAATTCGTGCTCTAACTCAAGTATTATTATTTTCTAAAATCTATTTTGCGTAATCAAGAAAAAATTTGATAATAATATTAATTTTGTATATTAGGCTAAGGGATACGATACATCACGTCATGTATTAGCGTGTTTTGGTGGAGCTGGTGGTCAACATGCATGTGCTATCGCTCGATCACTCGGTATGAGCACTGTTTTTGTTCACAAATATGCTGGAATTTTGTCCGCTTATGGTATGGCTTTGGCCGATGTTGTGGAAGAAGCTCAAGAACCTAGTGCTGAAATTTATGAAAGAAGTAATTGTTTAAGTGCCAATATTTAAAGTTATTCAAGTTTTTAACGGTTAATTCATTAGATATTATTTTTCGTTTAGATTCTTTTCAACGATTAGATGAACGTTTAGATATTCTTGCTGAAAGAGCAAAAAACAAGTTGGTTCAACAGGGTTTTGATCATTCTCAGATACACATAGAGTCATTTTTGCATCTACGTTATGAAGGTACTGATTGTGCTTTGATGTGTACAGCAAAACTTAATTCTGAATATTCTTCGGAATCTCCAAAACATGGCGATTTTCTTGCAACCTTCTTAGAAAGGTTCGTTAGATTTACATTATACCTTTGCAATATCAATTATACATTTTTCTTAATCTATAACCAAATTTGGATTTAATTTTTTTTAGATACCAAACAGAATTTGGGTTTACTATGCCCAATCGAAAGATTCTTGTGAACGATATTAGAGTCCGTGGAATAGGAAGGACAACGATAACCGAGGATACAACTTCATCACCATTCTCTACACCTGCTAAACCCGAAAAAGTTAGTCCTATCTTCAATGATACTTAAAATAATAACAATAGATAATATCTTCATAATAAATAAATTATTCACCTTGAATTCTTTATTTAATTGGTCAACTATAGACATCAAATCAAATTAATTAACTAAATTTTACTTTATAAAAACTTTATATGTGTTTTAGTCGACTATGGTGTACTTTGAAGGAGGATATCAAGATACTAAAGTTTATCAATTAACTTCACTATCACCAGGACACATAATACAAGGTCCTGCGATAATTATGGACAGTTTGAGTACTCTATTAATAGAGCCTGATTGTACAGCATCTATTACTTCTAAAGGAGATATCAAAATTACCATTGGCAAAGGAATTCATACAAAAGTAACAACCGATTTGGATACTATTCAACTTAGTATTTTTTCTCATCGTTTTATGAGTATCGCTGAACAAATGGGAAGGTAAATTTATCCGAATTAATTTTGTTTACGAGAAACACGATTTATTTAAAAATATTGTATATAAATTGTTTAGAATTTTGCAAAGAACTTCTATTTCAACGAACATTAAAGAACGATTAGACTTTTCTTGTGCTGTGTTTGGGCCAGATGGTGGTCTTGTTTCAAACGCTCCACATA